TAAATTTTTGTTCTTTTTAAAATATATTTTTTATTATATGGGGGGAAAAGGAAGGAGGGGGAATTGTGAGAACCACCACCTCGTATGTGTTAATTTCATAATATTGTACTATATCCACATAAATTCTGTCTCAAATGAAAGTTTTCAAAGTCTTTCGAATTCTACAAAAGTCTCTAAAAGTTTTAAAATGAAAGTTTATAAGTTTACAGAAAAGACTTCCACTAATTCCAATACAAATCTCTAAAAAATCCACGAAATCTACAAAAGTCATCACTTAAAAAAAGTCCATCAAAGTCTTCAAAAGTCCCAGTTGAATACACCTCTCTTAATTACCCGAGTTTGAAAACCAAGATGCAATGTAAAAGTGGATTGAAGGGCTGGAATATGTCACAAACCTAAAAATAAAAATAAAATAAACAAGCCAAACATCCACACACGAAACTGAAGAAAGGAATCAAGTCGAGTGAAAAGGTTTCTGCCCTCGTGCTTTGTCTTTAATGTCATGAAAATTAATTACAGTACCCCTTATCCCTTGTAGAGAATTATTATGATAATCTCAAGAAAATGGGGATTAATTGCGGGCCCACGAGTAGTTTTCTCCTCTATACCATACATAATCGAAACATGCAATCAGCAAAAGTTGGAAAAACTTTAGATGTCAAAATTGCAGTCATATCATGCTAAAATAAAATAGAAGAATTATGCAATCAAGCTTTTAAGAAAATATTCGAGCCATATATTTATAGGCAAAATATTTTAATTTGGTACCGAAAATAGCTATAGAAACATGGAGGCTTGAAGCTTAAGGTGAATACTCATCATAAATTTGTTTACATCTATTAGATTGGCCAGTCCTTAACGAATGGTTGTACCATCATATTTTAATCTCTATAGTAATCAGAGAGAAGTACCAGCAAAAACTAGCTATATATTCATACTAACTAAACAATTTGCTCAAATACTAATCAAAATCAAGTGGAATGTAACCATTGTCTGCATTTAAGTACCCACTATCACCTGCATAGATGTTAATTTCATACGTTAGAAGTTGAAAAAATGGAGATGGCACTCACCTGATTAAGCATCCATTTCAATCCAACGGCAGCTGTACACTCATTCTTGGAGGCACTAGTAAGCCAGTCTAGATTATAGATATTATCCAAAGTTTCCACTATTGTTGATACATTACTCCTCCGAACCTTAACCGAGAAGATTTCCCCATTGGAGCTTATGTTAATATGACTGTTCAACAATGTCTCAAACCATCCACTCCCGGACCTTTGGGTGGACAGAATTGCAAAATAACGCACGGGATTGCATGCGCACTCGGACCTAATTAACCACCAAATACAAATCAGTAAATTCAACAGTGACTTACAGCTGATTATTGGAATGTAGATATGTACATTGTCTAACCTGCTGAAAGTCTTCGGCTTGGGAAAATGCACGTAAGGTTTTTCTGAAGGTTCAACAACAGGTGCTTCACATGGCCTCTCGACCACTTGAACTTTCAATAGACGTTCGCTGGAATGTGCACTATATTGTCTTAGACAAACTGAACATATATAAACCCCGCAGACCATAACAAAGATTAAAACCACCATTCTCAACACCAGGGGATTTCTCTTTGGATTTTTTATAATGAAGCTATCCTGAAACTCGAACAAACATCATTAAGTCAAGAAAAACTGTCCACATCGTCCAACATAAATTTCCAACAAACAATTCCCCCGCTGCTCACCTCCATTGAGCTGAAATATTACCCAGGTGTAAACAAGAAAATTTCTAAAAGGGGACTGGCATTTAGCCAAATTTCTGAAATAAGGGCTTTATTTGATCATTCATATCTCATCAAACAACAGTACTATAACTAACATTAATTTCAAATAAATCTCCAAATTTAATTTTACAAGCCCATCATAGATGTGAAAGAATGAATCGAGAAAACTGAAATCTGGGCAGCCTCAATTTGAAGGCTCGGACATTAGAAAAACCTAAATTGTAAGCTAAATGAGTATATAAATTTGAATTCAGGTGCCCAGATCAAGAAAACAAGCTAATAAATGAAAATACACGTACCTTAGAGAAGAAACAGAGACCGTCAGCCATAATTTTTTCCCCTTTCTGCTCAAAGATTCAAATTTTCTTAACCCTTTTCTTTTTAGCTCTATTCATCATATACCTTTTATTTCTCCGGACATGCACTAATCATATTTATGTATCTATAGAGTGATAAAGTGAAAAAACCTAAAAGTAAGCTTTTTCGCTTGAAGAACAGTATTATAATGCAATCAACCGTTGTCAAGCCCTTTTTCTCATTGTTTTGCTTTAAGATTTCAACTTCCTTCAGATTTACACCTCTCTCTCTCTCTCCCTCTCCCTCCCCCCTTCCCTCCCTCTCCTCTCTCTAGACTAATTCGCGTTCTGTTTCAGTGAATTTCACCATAATGTGGGTTCTGATGTGGTAGGATTTGAATCCAGGCGTCGGATATGCAAATACGAACGAGGACAAATGTAAACGACATCGTTGTACGAGTTGATTTTGTCAAACGTTGAATTCAATACTGGACCTCACATTTTTCATCGATGTTTTCAAATAGGATTAAATTATGAGTAAATTGAAGAACTTGGTCCTAACCTTTGGTAAAATTGCGATTCTGTCCCCAACTAATATTTAGTCTGGTTCTTGTCCTCGATCCTTCATAATTTAACAGAGGTTGTCCCTAAAGACTTATTTTTTCCATCTTTTTTAGCTATTAAAACGGTGTAGAAAAAACAACATTCCACATAACTTTAAATAACAAAACACAAAAACGAAAGAAAACATAAAGACCAAGCCCCAGAACTAGATACGTCATTGTCGATCATCACCACCAACTCCATTTTTATCATAATATTATATATTTCTTGCGGGTTGTGCTACTTGTACATTATGACATCCATAATGGATGAAATAATGTACAAGTGGCAGTACATTATTGGAGGGTGTGCGGCCCATTGGCACACCCTCCAATAGGATAATTCCACTTGTACATTATGTCATCCATTATGAATGGTGGGCCAGCACATCCTCCAATAGGATAATTTCACTTGTACATTATGTCATCAATTATGAATGGCATAATGTACAAGTAGAATTATCTATTTCTTACAGTCATCGAACATATATACCACGCACATACAAATATAAATAAAAATAAACAAGTACGAAAAATCAATAATTTATTTATGTGATCCATTCTCACGCAACTTCATAATGAACATATACTCGCAATTGGAGAACTGAAGCAACCAATGCATATAGTCAGACGTTAATGTAAGCTCAAGGGGCAACGGCCTCAAGGCCCAAAATATTAGTAACCTCATTTATTATATTCACTATATAACACATTTAATACATGAAACTATCAGTCAACCTTCCAATAAATCGAAGCGATTATGGGGCTTGGGATAAGTGGCAAGTGTAGGGTGGTGTTGGTATTGTTGTTCTTTCTTTTTTTATTGCTTTCTTTTTGTTATTTAATGTTATGAACAATGTCTTTTTACACCGCTTTAGCAGTAAAAAATGGAGGGAAATCGTCATTGAGTCTCGAAAATGGAGGACTATCTCTGCTAAGTTATAAAAGGTTGAGAACAAAAGCCACGTGAAAATGGATAGGGGAACAAATTGCTATATTTGTCAAAGATTGGGACCAAATGTGCAATTTACCATTAACTATTACGTACGTGTCTTTGATAAATTTAATTTATTAGAATTGGACAAGATCTCAATGTGTAGCTGTCCCATTTATCTTCCATTAAATCAATTTTTTTTTTTAACTCGTTTTACAATTACACATTCACAAAATAAAATATATTACACATGAATCGAATTTTTTTCCTACATTTTAACCACACATTGATCAAAAAATCACTATTTCCAAACTCATTTTCCCAAAAAAAAAAATCTTTTTAGTGAAAAAACAAATGTTAACATCAAATATGTGGCAGATGAAAGACTTTTACTATCTAATTTCTGTAGTTTAGAATCACCCGAACGAGAAATAATTTCCACTTTTTAAGTTGGTTCTTAGTTGAAAAATGTTTCTTTGCATAAAAAACAATACATTAATAAATTGTTCTTTTTTAAGGATATCAGAGGAATAACTATTGAGTTAAAAATGTTTTATCAAATGGTTAGTTGCGTGACAATTTATGTACTAAAGTAATTCTCAAGTAAATGATATTCACCATAGATTAAAAATAATAATAGAACATAATTTTTGAAGTTTAATATTAATTTTTTTGTTTCCCAAAAATTGACTTGCTGGGGATCACATTAACACATTAATTATTTGACACGTTGAACTTGTAAGCAACTTAAGCACCCATAATTTATCCAAACCTGCATATGTCATATTCTCAAGTTTAACCCGTAATAATATTATTTCGTGCTTATATAATTGCAGCAGAAGCTCCGAACTTTTGAAACACTATCACACTTTCTCTAAACCGTTCAAAAGTTGCAGTCGTCACCCCAAATATTTTCAACCATTGTATCACAAGCCCTTTTAGACGATTTCCATCCATATTTCTGTTAGTTAACCAAAAAAGTGAGTTTGACATTTTTTAAATAAATTTATAAATGGTAAAATAGTAACGTTCTATTTACTACATTATATAATTAAAGTAAATGAATTTTAAAAAAAAGAAATAAAGAAAAATAAAAATCTCTTTGTCTTCTTCACCTAAAACCCTACACCCCATCCCAAACCAAACCACCCAAACCAAAACCAATATCACCTAGTGACCGCAAACTGCCGCACGCATACTTTTTCCAGTTCTCACCCACCTCGTAAAACACATTCTTATTACTCTCCAACCCTAACCCCATAACCAAATTAAAACCATGTTCTTGGCCTGGATTCTTTGATTGGGGCATTAATTATTGAATTAATTGAAAATAAACATATTATAGTATGATGTGGCCAATTTCGTTAATTAACATCCCCAAACCCGTAAATTGAAGGATTTGACATTGATATTGTCGGTTTTGCCAAAATTGTTAGAAAAGATGTGAGGTTCTTGATGCTTTGGACGTTGATTTTGATCTATATATGTTGTTGTTTGCCCAATAGTATGTGAGTTATGTGTTTGTAGTTCATGGCTGGTGGTTGAGGTGTGGAATAATTTTATTGCTTGGGTTTGATTTTTTGTTGGGGGATGGGGTTGCAGTTTTTGGGGATGGCAGTAGTGTCAGTTTCAATAGTAGCAACGGTGGTGGCGATGGATGGGTGGAGTAGTGGTGTCGGAGCTTTGCGGTGACATCGGCAGTTGCTGACGATTATAGGACTTTTGCTACAATTATACCTAAAATAAATCGATTTTTGAATGTACTGTGAAATTATACGATTTTAAAAATTCAACCATTGAATGTTTAAATATTAAGAAGAAAAAGAAAATAATGAAGTTCGCAAGACCATGCGCAATTTCAGTAATAAATTCTATAAAAAAAAAA